CCAGAACGTTTGACCCAAGTCATAGAGTTTAAAGGCAACGCTAGCAGATACTGAGGAGATGGATGGAAACTTCTGACTCTGAGAGAGTAATAAAACATTCTCTCTCTCATTATTCTGACATTTAACTAATAGAAGTAATGTTGGTGATCCTGACTGAACTGAAACAGGAAGAGTTTAGTCTGATTTAAGTCTGAAAAAAGGTTTCATGTCTTTTTATACAGTGGATGTAAACGTCTGGTTTCTGTAACTACAAACTGTGTGTATTCGTTCTACCAAGAACAGCTCAGTGCTGCTGTTGGAGAACTTTTTTTTTCTCACCACATGATGGAGCCACTCGACTGAGTAATCCTGCAGCTCCGTCAGCGTTTCAAAGCGTCCGAGCTGCTGCTGGTCTTCAGGTCACGCCGGACGACAGCGTCCATAAATAATTCACACATCAGACGAGCCGTTCACAGCAGAGGAGGGTCGCAGGTTCCTGTCGGGCCGAGTGTCGAAGCAGACGTGAGGAAATGCCGTTTACAGCTTCGTCTGTAAATCAAAAAACCTCAAGACGTTCATGTTGTTAATGGCCTGCGGCTGCTCTTAGTGGTCTTAATATTCCATATTTACCTCATATTGACTTTTAACAAACTGGTCCCACAAGTTGCTTTGTTTTAATATTTTATCTGCTGTAAAATATGATTTTGGTTTTATCCTGTCTGGACGTTTTGCTGCTTGTCATAAAACATTCTGTTGGTTGTTTTGAAACATACTGATATAAACAATTTTAATTGATTTGATTTAATTTGATGACAGAAATCCGACTGTGTTGAAATACACTATAAGAGAGCAGAAGTTATGAATACACGTATGTTTTCTCTTCATCTAAACACTGCACAGAGTTTACAAAAAATAAAACACCTTTTTTGTTCTGTGATATTTTGAAGTCCTCTCATACTTTAGAAACTTTCAGTCTTTTACACTAAACCGAGTCGGACTCAACTCAAAATTACCAGGAACAGAGGGGATTGTTGCATTTTTAGTGCTGGAAATTAACAGTTATTTTAATTTTTAACGAATGATTTCATTAATATTGATTCAATTACAAATTATTTAATCTATAAAACATCAAAAACAGTAAATGTTATGACAATAAACGTCTCAAAACAGCTAAATATTTGGTTTACTGTAATGTAAGACAATGAAAAGTAGCAAATTCTCAAATTTGAGAGCATGAAACCATCAGATTTTTGGCATTTGTTTCTTACATCTTTGTTTGTCTCAGCTTATCTTACTTTATCTTCACTTAACTTGGCTTGTCTAAGCTTAGCTTAGCTTATCATATTTTTAGCTTATCGTTTCTTAGCTTGAAAATAGTCGTCGTCAGGGTTGAAGGAACATCATTAGAAACTATCATCTAAATCTGAGCAGTCGTTGACGAGTTTGGTCTTTTGCTTTAACCCACTGAAGTGAAACCGACCTGTGTTTGGTGTTGAAGGTTGGCCCGATGCCGTGGCTCGGACCGCAGACCGACGAGGTGATTAAAGGCCTGTGTGAACGAGGGAAGAAGAACATCCTGCTGGTGCCGATCGCCTTCACCTCGGACCACATAGAGACGCTGCACGAGCTGGACATCGAGTATGGACAGGTGCTGGGCGAGGAGGTGAGGCAGAGCTAATGAATAAATCCATGCAGTTTCCCAGCAGCCTCTCTGGTCCGTCAGCTTCTACCGGCTCAGGCTCACATAGAAGCTGTTCACATAAAACCCTCAGGGCTGGGAAGAGGCTGAATGTTGCCTTTAAAGCTCCACACAGAAGACTTTGCAGCTGAATTTGTTTTTATCAACTAAACCATCCATCAGCGCTGAGATTTTCCTTCCAGACAGCCAACAGTTTCAGGTTTCTGTAACTCTTATAGAAGAAAACCTGTAATTATATATTATACAAAAAAAAAGTTTAGTTCAATAAATGCGCTGTAGGTTAATTTAAACCTCGATTTAAACCCAACACTACCTGCAGACCAGGACAGGAGAGACTGTGTCCTGTAGGGTGGAGATTTACAGTAATTTCTATTTTTAACTCGCAATTTTATTCACAAAGAACATCAGAACACAGTAAAATTGGTGCAACTCAGCGTCCCAAAGCCCAAGATTATCTTATTTAATGTCACAAAACAGCAATAATATGATGTACGACAAGAAAAATAGCAAATTCTCACATTTGAGACCATGAAACTATAACAGTCTTAGCATTTCTTTTCTTCGTCCTTGCTTAGCTCAACTTAGATTAGCTCAGTTTATCTTAGCTTAGCTTAATGTAGCTTAGCTTGTTTTAGCTTCAGCTTATCTTAGTTGAACATTTGCTTAAAGTAGCTTATCTAATATTATCTTAGCCTAACTTATTTTATTTTGTCTTTGCTTATCTTGGCTTATCTTCACTTAACTTAACATTGCTAACGTAGCTTAGCTTATTTTTGCTTCAGCTTATCGTAGCTTATCTTTGCTTAAATTAGCTTATCCTACCTCACCTTAGCTTAGCATAACTTATTACATCTTTGCTTGTCTTAGCATAGCTTATCCTATCTTAGCTTGTCTTATTTCAGCTTCAGCTTATCTTAACGTATATTAGCCTAACTTTGTTTATCTTAGCTCATCTTACCTTAGCTTTGCTTATCTTAGCTCCTCTTAGCTGAGTTTATCCTAGCATGTCTTTAATTTGACGCACTAGTCAGTGAATTGACTGATCATCAGCTCTGTTGCTTTCTTCCTGAACACCGTTAACAGGTTGAAACGAGGGAGGCTTCATGTGAAAATACAACCAATACACCCCATAAACCAAGAACATTTGTTTGTTTCTTGCTTTGAGAACTCAGAATGTTTAACTACATGAAAACAGCATGAACTCAAATAAACGCTGACGGTAAGAAATTATTTATCCAGAGCAGCTTTCAGAAATGAACTCGTCACACTGACGACCAGCTGATGTCCCCACAGAGATGGAAAATCCTGCAAACTGGTCACTCCTTCGGCGTGTTGTTGTGTGATTGTGAACAGGGATTAGGATTAACGTCAGACTTTGTTCTGGGATGAAATAACAGCAGTTTAAACCTGAGACTTGAAGCAGAGTTTCAGTTTGTCTCCGTCTGTCTGAGTGAAGGCACCAGCGAATAACCACCAATCAATGTGACTGGTGCCACCAAGACACACATTTGTACCTGTCGGGAACGATCACGTCACTGATAATTAGCTCTCAGACCTTCACCTGAAACCGTCCTCCTGTCCTGAACTGTCCTCATTTTCCATAACGTCCCGGCTTATGAGGAACAAACCTCCGAGCGGTCCTCACAAGGACAGAACAGCAGCCGGCACACACACTGCTCTGTCTGGACCTCTTCAGTTTCTCTCCAGAATGAAAGCTGCTGTTAAAAATAATTGGAAACCGAGAACAAAACGCTTTTGTTTCTTCAAGTCCTCGTCGGACAAAATGAGAACACTTTTGCCGACATGTTCGCTGAGCGTCGGACTTCATTGAACGGATGTAAACGTTGTTTTTTCACGCCGACCTGCTGCTGCGCTTCTTGTTCGGTCGCTGTGGTTCGTTCAGGCTGTTTTCAGCAGATAAATGAACAATAACAATAAAATCAATAATAATGTTCACACTCTGTTAGCATTGGTTGCTAATACGTAGCTGCAAAATTTAGCTCAACCTGCTGTCGGCTGGTTTGCAGCGTTTCTGATTTTTTCTATTGTTTATATTCAATTAAACATTATTAATAAAACAATGTAGTTATGAATGTCAGGTTTTACCATTTTTTGGAGCTTAATTTGTATTTTTGTACAATTTTTACTCCCCAAACTCCCCAAATGATCACTTTGCAAAGATTTAAAAAAGAAAAATGCCACAAATCCTGACAATGTGGAACCTTGAGCCAGTTTGGCATCACCTGAGGAACACAAAATAAACTTTATAAGCAGAAACTCAGGCAGGAAAATGCAGAAACAAGGAATTATTTCAGGTTGGGTTATGAAAAGTCCTGGAAAAATGAGGGTGTTTTAAATGTGAAGGTTTTTCTAAAATAGCAGAAACATCGTGTCTGTTTCTGCAGTGGAACTTCAAACTTTACATTTGCTGCATCTTAGCTTAGCTTATTGTTGCCTATCTTATCTTATATAATCTTCTCTTAACTTGGCTAATGTTAGCTTAGCTTAGCATAGCTTAGCTCCTCTTATAGTTTATCTTAGCTCATCTTATCTTGTGTTTGTTTATTTGCTTAGCTTAGCTCCTCTTGGCTTAGCTTGTCTTATTTTTGCTTGTCTTAGCTTATTTTAGCTTCTCTCATCTTACTTGATGTTCTCTTAACTTGGCTAATCTTAGCTTGTCTTAGCTTAACTTGCCTTAATTAGCTTCTCTTATCTTAGCTTAAATTAGCTCACCTAATTTTAAATCATCTTAGCTTATCTTGTGTTTGTCTATCTTGCTTAGCTTAGCTTAGCTCATCCCACTTTAGCTTGTCTTTGCTTACCTTCTCTTACCTTAGATCACCTTAGCTTATGCTTAGCTTATCTTTGCTTAACTTGGCTTATCTTAGCTCGGCTTAGTTTATCTTCCCTTAGCTTTGCTTATCTTAACTTACCTTGTCTTGTCTTTGTTTAGCTCATCTTCTCTTAGCTTATCTTAGCTTCAGTTATCTTAGCTTAGCTTAACTTTGCTTAGCTTTATTTTATCAAAGCTTAGCTTAGCTCATATTATCTTGTCTTTAATTTGACGCACTATGTAATGAATTGACTGATCATCACAACTCAAGTCCGTTGTTTTATCTATTTAGTATTATTTATAATTATTATACTATTTATAACAATATAAAAGTGTCTGACATTAGTTTGTTTGTTATTGTTTCTGCAGTGCGGCGTTGAGAACATCCGGAGAGCAGAGTCCTTGAACGGGAATCCTCTTTTTATGAAGGTAACTTTCACACATCGTAATGCTGTAAAGATATTTAAACGTTTGCAACATTTTTAAGAACCGAGCAGGTTTCAGTTAGCTCGTTAGCTCGTTTGGGACGGATTCAACTCTGATGCTATCGAATCTCGTTAAACACTTCCCGTCTGCCGGTTATTTCCTGAGCAGATGTTTTGAACAAGCGTCCAGGTAGCAGCAGCAGGAAACAAAGTGTAGAGCAGAAGAACAGAGCTGATGGAGGAGGAAGCAGCAGTCGAAGGTCCTGTGAAGTGAGTCGACTCCAGGCATGAGATGGTCAATAACTGGAGGCCTCCTTCCCTCCTTCCCTCCTTCCTCACCCCTGAAACCTTCCTCAGCTCCTGCAGCTGTAACATCTGTGTGTGCAGGGTTTATTAAAGGGAGAGGGGGCAGATCAATGGGAACCTTTAGAGCTGACTACAGTGGAAGTGAAGCGCCGCCCGGCTGGCTGCTGGACAAACCCGCCGCTCGCAAACCCCTCGCCAGGCCTCTGAGAGCGAACCAATCAATATCCAGGGGATGATTAGTTGGTAGTTACTGAAGGATGGTTTCCTCGGTGTGGTTTTAGTTTCCACCGTGAAGCTGCTGCCGTCTGCAAGCAGCAAGAAAATCAAGAAAAAAAAAAAAACACCAGTTTGGCTTCGTTTTTTCTAAACGAGTCTCACATTCACCCGTTAATGTTTCAGACTGATTATTAATTTAACAGCAGCGTGAATGTGAACAAAGACTGTGAATCCTAAAATAAAAATAAGTTGTTTTAGAAGCAATGACCAGCACAAGAGAAAACTGGTGGTGGGTCATTTTCTAGGAAACTTCTTCAAGCACACAAGCTTTGATTTTATAAACAGACCAGATATTTGGATGTGGATCTAACTGATGGAGTTTCATGCTGATTCAAGCCGTCTGCATTTTCTTCAGGGATAAAATCAGGACTTGAACAACCAGGAAACCTACTAAACCTGGAGCTCAAACTCCAAGACGTCTGCATTTACATTCTGACCAGATAGAATTCCACTTTGAGATTTCTACGTCATTCTGACAAGTTTTAACTTAAATTTTGAGGAAATCTGAAATGTTCTTTTCGATTTGGAGGGACTGAATTATCTGCAACACTAATCCAGTCCAGCTATCAAAGGCCAAAACAGCTGCCAAATGAAATGAATTTGACAGAAAAGTGCCTTGACTTAGAATCACGTACTGCACCTTTAAGGGAGAACAGCTCAGTGTATCTTTGTTTATCTTAGCTTAGCTCATCTTAGCTTATGTTAGCTTATCTTACCCTGTCTATGCATAACTTGGTTTATCTTAGCTCTTCTTACCTTAGTTTATTTTAGTTTATCTTAGCTTGTCTTGGCTTGTATTACCATAGCTTATCTTAGCTTAGCTAGTCTTAGCTCATTATAGATTATCTTAGCTTAACTCATCTTAGCTTAGTTTATATTCACTTATCTTTGGTCATCTTATCATAACTTTGCTTATCTTAGTTTAGCTTAGCTTATCTTCGCTAAACTTGGCTTATATTAGCTCTACTTATCTTGGCTCATCTTAGCTTGCCTTAGCTCATTATAGCTTATCTTAGCTTATCTCATCTTAGCTTAGTTTATCTTCACTTATCTTTGCTTATCTTATACCTTTGCTTATCTTAGTTTAGCTTATCTTAGCTCATCTTAGCTTAGCTTATCATACTTATCTTATCTTAGCTCAGCTCAGCTTATTTTAGCTCATCTTAGCTTAGCTTATCTTAGCTCCTCTCCTTAGCATATCTTAGCTCCTCTCAGCTTATCATAGCTAATCTTAGCTTAGCTAATCTTAGCTTAGCTTCTTTAAGTTGACACACTAGTCAATGAATGGACTGATTATTATCACTCAGCTCTGTGGTTTTTTTTGTGCAAAGTGTTTATTTGTTTGTTTTGTGTTATTGTTTCTGCAGTGTGGTGTACGCAGTGAAAGTCAAAACTGCTCTGACTAGTGAAGGACATAACTGTCTTCTTTAATATAAAGAGTGTATTGTTTATAGTCTTAGAATCCTGTGAAACACCGGCGTCAGTTCTTGTCTCGGTGTCGTTCCAGGCGTTGGCGGATCTGGTCCAGTCCCACCTGAAGTCCAACGAGCCCTGTTCCCGCCAGCTGACCCTGCGCTGCCCGCTGTGCACCAACCCCACCTGTGGAGAGACCAAGGCCTTCTTCGCCAACCAGAAACTCTCGTAGACTCTCCGTCCATGAAGCGGGGTGGCTCGGCGGAGAGACTAAAGCCTTCTTCTACAAACTAAAGCTTCACGACTCAAACACACACAGTCTTCGCCAGCGGGAGCAACCTGGAAAATCCAACGCACAGAACGAGCCGCGTGGTTTCTGCAGACGCATTTACTGTTCGTGGAGTCGCAGACGTGCAGGTTTTGGTCTTTTAACGCGATTCATACCTGAAATGCATCAGTTTAACTCCAAGTACAGCTGAGTTGTTCCATCTCAGATCACCAGGGTTCTTCTGTTCAACCGTCAGAAACAACGAATATTTATAAAGATGTCTGTGAAAGTTTAGCTTCACATGTCAAATACTTGCAGAGGTATTCTTTAAATATCTGCCCGTCGACCCACTTTCAGTAGGTTTTTTTCTTAAATTGAAATTTGAGGCTGTTTGAACAACAACATCTCAGGAACTCTTCAGAATAAAAGCCTGAAATTTTCACTGTTATTTCTCATCATGTTATTGATTCTGAATCTATAATATTGGACACGTAGATCAATTAATCTCTGATTATGGATGAGTTGAAATATGGAAAGTCATTGAAGCCGCCATGCAAAGTCCCATTTTTGAGCTCATATTGACAAGAAAAATTAGAAAGCAGAAGTCAAGTAGTGATATTTTCTGTAGCTGCAGGTCACAATAATGCAAAACTAAACATACAGAATGCTTTTAATATGAAATTCTTGGTTGCAAAAATGGAAATTAAACCTTCATATTTCAGCTTTTACTCCTTTTAATCAGAGACTATTTTGTGTACTTGTCCAATTTTACAGATTCTGAATCAACGACATGATGAGAAATAACGGGGAAAATTTCAGGCTTTTATTTTGAAGAGTTCCTCAGATGTTGTTCAAACAGCCTCAGATTTAATGCGAGAAAAAACTTGCTGAAAGTGGGTCAACGGGCGATTCTTTAAGCAAAATATCTCGGCGAGTATTTGATATCGGTCTAAAATTTCACAGATATCTTCATAAATATCATAAATACTTCATGCTATTTGATTTCCAAACAAATCGGAGACGGCTGAGCAGAAAATGTGCTGATGATCTGAGATTTAATGAACCTGCTTTAACTAATATCTGCCTTTTCAAAAAGCACCTCATGCTTCCTGAATTTTCTCATTTTGTGAAAAAAAAATCGCCCCAAACGTCACGCGGGTCGACACCTCGGTAAGGTTTGCAGATCGGTTAACGTCTCCGTCGGTGAAAGAACCGCAGACAAAGAAGAACGTTGCACTATTGTCTGCTTTGTTTTTAAAATCACATTTCCTCGCTTACATTCCGTCACTCGAAACCTCCGTCGGACGCCCTCGTTCTCTTCTTCGTTGGTGCTCCCAGAACAACAGTGCTGGCTTCTGGTTGGTCGGCTGCTTTTCCCTTCAACGCCATTGGTCCACCGGCCGGTAAACTCCGCCCATCCTGCTGCAACCCCTGCAATGTGATTGGAGGAGGTCGGTGCTGCTCCAACGCTGCTGCCTGATAGTCGGACACCAGCGAGTTTAAGAAAGAAAAATGGGCGATTTAGGAATAGCTGAGCCACAGTAGGAGGATTTAACAAATTAAAAGCGTGATTTCTGCAGTAAAGCGTTAAAACCTGTCAGGATGTCATCACATTGGTGAGATGGTTGACAAGCTCTGAGAAACATGTTCTCACTATACAAATTCAACATGTGTATCTGTGTACTTGTAGCTTTTTTCTACTAAAATATTAAGCTTCTCAAATTAAACTCGGAATTCTGACTTTTTTAATCCCAGAAATCTGATGTTAAACTTAATTTTTTACAATAAAGTCAGACTTTTGAATTTAATCTCAGTTCAGTTTAGGATTAAACTCAGAATTTAATCTGAGAATTTGTCAGATTAAACTGAGATTTAACTCAGAGTGCTGACTGTGTAAAAAATTCAGGTTTTAATCTCAGATTTCAGAGAAAAAAAAAAGTCTGAATTTTGAGTTTGTCAATAAATTGAGATTAAAGTCAGAATTTTGAGTTTGATGTAAACCTTCGAACTTCAATCTCAGATTTCTAAGAAAAGAAGTGTCAAATTTGGATATTGAGATTAAACTGATTAAACTCAGAATTCAGGTTTTAATCTTAGATTTCTGAGGGGAAAAAAAAGTCAGAATTCCAAGTTTTACATTAAACTGAGATTAAATCCAAAATTCTGACTTTAATGTAAAACTTGGAACTTCAAACTCAGATTTCTAAGAAAAAAAAGCCTTGTCAAATTACAGACTTTCAAATTAAACTGGGATTAAATTTAGAATTCTGACTTTAATTTCAGATTTCATAGAAAAAAGTCAGAATTCTCAGTTTTATATTAATCTGACATCAAACTCAGAATTCTGACTTAATAAAAAAAAAAAACAGGCTTTAATCTTAGATGTTTGTGGGGAAAAGGCAGAATTTTGAGTTTAATCTCTGTTCATTCTAATATTAAATTAATCTAAAATTAAACTCAGAATCTAATCTGACAATTTCTCGCAGTTCATTCTCAGAATTCAAACTTTTCCCCAGAACTCTGATTTAAAAAAAAAAAAAGAAGAAAAAAAATCCTGCTTTAAAGTCAGAATTATGGGAGAAAGTCAGAATTTAAAAAAACAAAACAAAACAGAAACACACAAGATTGAAATAAATCGGTAACAATAAGAGAAAACAAATGTTTGTGTTGCAGTCTGTTGGCCGTGCGGTATTCATCGTGTCCTGGAAGAATCCAGTCTGCTGTCGCTCACATGATGCTGTTAGAAACTAAATCTTTAAGGCTGAGATGCCACAAAGCTGAAAAAAGCCGAAGTGAAACCTGCATGTTTAGCTTTTTTTTTTTACGATGAACTTTGTCACAAGTGGAGACTTTCACCTTTTTATCAATCCTCGCCGACGCTGGCTGTTTATTTTTAGGTTGCAGTTTAAGGTGTGGATTTAAAAACCTGACGGCACAAGTTTCATCGTAAATTTCTCACGAAAACTGTCCCGTGGCGACGGCGAGTTTCCTCTCAGTAGTTAGTCACTGAAAGTAGTTTTGAGTCCCTGAGGGAACGGATCAATACCGATCTAGTACTTTGACTCATCCATATCAAGATTGATGTTTGATTTTCTCACATGTTCAGCGCTCAGCAGGTGTTTCTGTTCCATTAGTGTCAGAACTGAGGTAGCAACACATCCACTTAGTTCATGTACAGTTGTGAACAAAAGGGTCCATCCACTTGTAAACACCACGCGTGTCATTGTAGTCGTGAGTTTTCAGTTCATCCTACACCTCAGTCCTTAAAACACATGAATCCGTGTCACAAAAGAGCATCATGCATTTATTTCATCTGCTGGGTCGAACATGTACGTACAGAAATGCACGATGGTGGCAGCATCATGCTGGAGCTTTACTGGAATAATCAGGATTAAAGCCAGGACTTATGGAGACCAGTGGAAAAGCTTAACTGTAGCAGGACTGAACCATTTCTTTACCACTGTTGATGTTAGTTTTTGGTCATTGTCTTGTGGAAACATCCAACCGTGTCCAAGTTCAACCTTCTGGTGATTATTTTAGGTTTTCCTGAAGAACGTGGACGTAATCCTCCGTCTTCGTTACTTCATTTACTTTGTGTAAAGCTCCAGTTCCACTGCCCGCATGATGCTGCCACCTCCATGCATTGCCGTATGTATACTTTAGACCCAGCAGATGTTGACATATATCCAGAAGACCACGTTAGAGTTGCAGGAGTGATTGGAAGCTCCAGACTGCCGTGGTATACGTGGTCTTTATGAGAACACGTCCCATCCATGTAGGAATGTCTACGAGTGTATGGAAAAAAAAAAACAAGCGTGAAAGTCCGATAATGCTGGAATTATCCATCGGTAACAAAATGTGTTCATACAGGCTATAGGTTAGTGTACAGCTGTAGTGTAAGAATGACACGAGTCGAGTGTAGGGTTTAGCGTCGGCTCATTGCTTTTGTTTTTGCAGCTCCCTGATCTCAGTGCTAAACCTGAAGAACCGAATTAAACCCGTCAGTTGTAATTGTTGTCGGTTGCTTCGGCTCCAGAGAAAGTCTCGAAGGTTTGATGAGGATCAACAGTCGAGTGTCATAAACGTGGGCAGTAGCTCGAGCTCTGACCTCCGACCCGCCGCCCCTCCACCGTTTCTGTCCCGTCACGCCATGATAACGTGCCTTTTACACTGGCTAGCTAGAAATACTGGACTTGTGCTTTATGTACATTTTTTTGTTTGTTTGTTTGGTTTTTTTTGCCTAACCAAAATGCTGGCGGGAAAAATCCACCCTGAGCTGTGAATTTCCATGTTCCTGCTGTGATCTGAGTCGCCGCCGACCGTTCTGGCACGAGTCGTGCTTCTGGTCGGTTCATGTTTCTGCTTCCAACGCGTACGGAAATGCACTTTACAGCAAATGTTCTCACCCAATACAAGCAGCGTTACCTTTCAGTGCTCTTCCACAGGTTTGAAAGGGATCGCATGGGGTTTTTGGGGGTTTTTTTAAGGAACACTTTGGTCCAGTTAGCTTTGCAGGAAAGAGTATTTTTCTACTTTTGTGCAGCACAGCTAAGCTAAGCTAAGCTAAGCTAATCATACAGCGCCTTCAGACTGCATGTTGCTAAGACGAAAGTTAAATTCCTCTTTAAAAAAAACAACAAAACACCAAGCTATCTCTTTATCAAATACAATAAAAAGTCCAGTTTGTGCAGAAATGACAAAATGTTCAGGTCATGGCAGAAAGACATGCTAATCTCTGGAAAGGGTGGCTGTTTCCTAATTTATTTTTATTTATCCTCTGTAAGTCGTTTTTGACAACTGTTGTTTTAAATCAGTTGTGTTCTTGTGTGTGTGTGTGCGTAGCTGAAAATGCACTGTGCAGAGTTGTACATATAACAAAGGCGCTTAAGGTTTCTCGCAGTTCCCTCCAGCGGACTTTTATTTTGTTAATGCTGTTTGGTTTTTATTTATTTTGGGATTTTTTTTTCCTTTCCTGTGTGTGTTTCAGAGCAAACAAACCATCTGTCTCCACTGTTGAGTCATGTTTTTATTTTAGACTTATTCGAAGACATGATATAAGCAGTGCAATTACACGTAACAAGTCTTCCTTCAAAATAAAATACAATGATGAAAAATCACGTACTTCTGGTGTAACGTAAAAGACGTTTTTTTTGTTGGTTTTCTGTGTAATTTCAGATGAAAACTTTGTTATTGTGAAAAATGTGGTGATGGGACACTTTTGGTCACACTTCCTGCCTCCTTTGGGACCAATATGGCGCGTTTGGCAAACGGTTTGAACATTTAATGGAGTTTGACGAGTTGGAATCACAGATAACATTTTGACTAATTACCCAGCAATTAATCAGAATTTTTATTCCAGAAATCGATGCCATCATTCTGACG